TGAATCACATCTAGTCCGAGAGCTTACTGGACCGTTGCTGGCTTCTGGGTGGTCGCGGGGATCGGACTGATCGACGGTAAGTGGCCCAACTTACAATTGCGTGATGAACTCTGAGTTCTCGAATTCCTGTAAGGTAGTTGATGGATTTGGTCGGGTAATTATGAATTGCTTCGATTATTCCAGGCTCTGAAGAAGACGATCCGCGCCGAAACGCTGGCCGGAATAAAGTTGTTTTCTTATCAACCTCGTTCGAGTTCAAGCAAAGAAAACCAATTCCAATTTCATTATTGAGCCGATTCCGCCACCACTGAAAACAGTTTAAGCCGTTCGGCAAGGCACGAATTTGGTAATTAGGGGCATTCACTCTTACCTTAACTAGCTATTTTCTCCGAATAATCATGTGAAAAGATGCAAGGTCAATGTTTGTTTTGCTTTTCTTCATTTCGCTTCTTTACATAGCTTCAACATTGGTTTCATCGTATTTAGCATTAGCAAGTAAAACTAAAAAGTCTGTGTTAGGCATCAAGTGTTTTGTAGTTCCCTTGCTTCGAACTTCTTCTTAGATCTTGGGATTCGATTTCGTTAAATCAAAAAAAAGACAACGGGACATCCTTTAAAAGTAAACGTCGTACCTGGCGGGAATTACGGAGAATTAAGTGTTAAAGCTTCTTGCAGAAATTACAATCAGAAGAGAAGGAGCTAGACGAAACAGCATTTGAATATTCCAAAAAATAGTCTGGCTTAGTTCTTTTTTTTAAGGGATTCGGCAAAGTCCCAAGTCAGTTAATAATAGCTTTTTTTGTCACTTGCACTTTTTTGTCATTGCTTTTTAAATGCAAGGAACCTCTTTTGTTGAAAATCTTTCCAGCAGTTTATTGAGAAATTGTCCTTGAATCGTACATTTGCGAAGGCCTTGAATTAGATCTCTTTACAGAAACTGAGTGCATTTTTTTCAAAAAATTAGTGCCGCTACCTAATTTCAGTAGGAAAAATCAATTGATGGAGATGTCCACGAAACATGCTGAGTTTTTGCATTCATGCATGCATGTTTTTCTGTTTTCGCATATTCTTTTGGTTATTGCTGATCCTTCTTTTTCTCCAATCATTGAAAGAGAAGTTTGATACACTCGGAACCTTTTCTCGGTGAAGCTCTTTGAATTCTATTAGGCTTTCGAATACGGTAATTAATGCGTATCTTGCATTTGGTTATATTTGCAGTTTGACAAGCTGTATAAAATGAGAGGTACCTTAGATTTCTGAAAAGTTAAGTACGCAAAGCATAATTTGTAATCATTGGAAATCTACCTGTCTCCTTACTCAGCCTAAAGCGAGCTCCTTTTCCTAATACAAAGTCCGACACCCTCGATTTCTCATTACAGGGCAAAACATTCATTTCTGACAACGAAATGTAATATTCGCAGGGGAATCTCCACAATACCGCCGGGTACAATTTGAGCAATGCCTCGCTGCCATGTGGAAAAAAAGTGACCCTTGTTCATTATCGGTCCTTATCATTTGATATCAGTAGTCATCACCAATTATTCATGATTATTCATGATCCCGACAAATCCCGCATCACTCGCCAAAGTGTCAAGAGTCCGCCACATGGCAACGGTGTAACCGACTCGGCATCTCATGCCTTTTATGGTTCCACAGTAGTCACCATCAGTGGGATCACTTCTTATCATCGAGATCAGTGTTCCCATTTTGTTCCCTGTGTGGCTACCGAATTTGAACCTAGTTCCAAATTGACGAACTTGTGAATTTTTGGTCAAACACAACGCCACACCGACGAACACTCCTTCAAACTAACAGACGCACATAACGAATTAGCGAACGAGTTTGTTTAAAAGAATCGCTTCATTTGGTAAATACGCCTAAGCCCTCTCTAACCCACAAAATCCGTATGAAAGGCTCAAACTCCTCTGTGGTTCCCACAGCGTTGGCATCCTACTCGTAGTTTCCGGTAGTCTACCACCACCACTTACGTCTGTTCGTTCAATAATATCCACTTACTCGGGTGGGGCGTCAGTGATGGTGGAACCACCAAGGATCCTTTCGGATCTTTTGTGTTTGCGGTTCTTTAAACTTTGCAACTGGCCTAATTAATAACGTACGCTCGAACGTGTAACCAGTCGACCAAGAGGTTCAAAATACCATTAGTTCCTTATTAGCGATTCTGTCGAAACACCGCTCGAATGGAGTGGTCAAGTCAGTAACCTACTTGGCAAAGCAAAATCTCTGTATATATAGCAGTAACTCGTCTGTTTATATGCCCGTTTGTGCGTCCTTCCAAAAGTCACGTAGGCACGATGATGAGTGTGAATGTCACGTGAGCGCAGTGTGAAAACAGTAATGAAATGGGAAGTCAACCGATGCTGTTTATATTAGTACTCTAACAAGTCGTAGGTAAGCAGTAGTGGGCATGTGATGTACGCCTTAGCATGCGTAGCCTAACTGGTAAGACATAATGCATATGCCTTAGCTCAAATAGGACTGAACTTGGAAATTGCAAGCCATATCAATTCGATTATTTTATCTTCTATCAAGGGCTTGTATGATTTTTGTGTGTGTTATGATACGCTGGCAAAATTGAATGAAAGTGCTGTTCTGGTGAGGTGAGAAGCTTACAAGGTTGGTTGACATTTAGAGAACCAGCTCGCTTGACATTAGATTGTGTCCCAAATTTCTGACAGCACTCTGTTCGACTCGGTGGGAACAGGTCCGATGCAAGAGAAACAGAGTTCTGATGTTTTAATGAATCTGTTTCAGCGGCATACATGCTCCTTTACGACTATATGAGTTGTATTCCCATGAGCATAAATTCCAATTTAATTTGTTTTCTTTTCCAAGTGTTTTTTTACTGAGAAGGCGTCGCCACTGACCGCGCTTTGTATCCATCACTTACAGGTTATTGTACGATTCTTAACTGTGATGATGAGACACGGTTATATAGGAGAGTTCGAAATCGTAGACGACCATCGAGCAGGCAAAATCGTTGTCAATCTCAACGGCCGCCTTAACAAATGCTCAGTTATCTCTCCACGTTTTGATATCAAGCTCAAGGTAGTTGATTACTCAAATCTTTCAAGCTTCCCCTCACAGTAAGGAAAACGTTACTGTTACATTTAGGATATCGAGCAGTACACCACGAATTTGCTGCCATCCCGCCAATTCGGGTACCTCATACTAACTACATCCGCTGGCATAATGGATCACGAAGAAGCCAGAAAAAAACATATAGGAGGAAAGATTCTCGGATTCTTTTTCTGATTGTTGTTCTGTTAATGAATTGTTGTTATTTTTTCGTTTTTTTTTCTCGAACATTGTTGATCTGCACGTACTACTTGTTTAAGCCAGATTGCTGAGTCTAGTCTATTCCTTAGGGGTGTCTAGGTAAAGTCGAAAAGGTAATTTGAAAAGGTGTAAATTCCATCTCATGGGAGATGGTTTCATGTCATTCCTGTCATTTCGCATTTCACTCCGAGCTCCAATTCANTAGTTGAAATAGATAATACCGTGCGGTGTGGAAGACAGCAGAATTAGGCGCACGTGGAAGCTTAACAGTTTTTCGAATAGGATTGCTGTGAGATCATAATCTCTGTATCTTCGAGTGTGCCTGTGCTTCCAAGATTCAACGTTATCCAGAGGCCAGGTAGTACGTGATCGATGCTTTTTTGGATTAAGCTCCCGTCAGCTGCAACAAAGGGGTGGTGAACCATGGAAGGAAATAGTCTGATTCTAACTCTCCTATCGCCGAATGAACAGAACTGAATTGATTGGTTGAGTAAGAGGATCTCAAGGACACCGTATAGAAGTATCGTAGTCCTGCCAACATGTCCTCATAAGCAAAGTGTGACAAAGGTCCCATCCAATGTAGACGTTAGCTTCTGGTCTCTGATGCAAGCAAGCGGCACGAAATTGAACCTGCACGGATAGTAATGTTGCGCGGCAAATTCCATTGCTGATCCTTGATCGCTTACAGCTCGCTGAATTCATTCAAGGCAGACGATATGTGGGCCCTCTAAAATCAGGTGAAGGCTTTTTCTTCGTGATCGAAGAGCATGTCGTAGACGTTTTTTACTTTGCCTCAATTTAACTTCCGAAAGTTCGCGGAGGGTCCAATCGAACATCTAGCTCGCCAATTTTTCCAGCTTCTTGTGAAGGTGGTGAACAGATGAACGACTGGCGTCCGGTATCTCTTCAACCTAGCGTGTCACTCTTGTTAATTATTTCAAAAGTCTATTTCGTCATAATCATGTCTGGCTGGCACGTCAACAATCATCACAGCTGACTTTCCTGTTCGGAGGGATCATGGAGTTCACAATACAAATTTTGGTAGAACTTGACCTGACAAAGATGTTTCTCAGGCATTACCAGCGCGCAATTCTTTGCTGCGGAGCTGACGCGCATTCTTTCGCCTCGATAGACGAAAACTATTCGTTCGACATTTTTCTAAATTACCGTAGATTGTCCGAATCAATTGACCCACTCGATTCTTGAAATCCAGCTCACGTTAGTTATGGGGTGCCTAGTTTAAGGCGAACGATGGAAGTGAAAGATCAGATTAGAACGAAACTAGCAAAGAAAACGGGAATGTAGGTGCATATGGAGAATTAGGAAACTCAAAAAAGTAGTAAAGTTAGGGGCTGGGCGAGCATCTGACTACAGAAGTTGCATTGAAGGGGTCATTGGACGAGCTGCTCAAATGTGTGTGTGGGTGTGTGTCACGGGGGGCAGAATATTGGTGCGTCTGAAGGTGCACGCGGCCTGCGCGGCGAAATCCGTGGCGAGTTGTGTGCGAGCCTAAGCCTAAGCCTATTATTGGGGTACAAACATGGAGTAGATTAGATGGGTCAGCTAATACTGCTGATCTACTTATTTCGAACCTGTGCCTCAATGATAGGCGTCAGAGTCGTTCGAGTCGTCGCGATATTCGCCACGCAGTTTGGCGAGTGCATTTCCCGACTCACCAATGTACTCGTACCCGCACAGTTGGATACAGTAAGCTGCCGACGTGCAACGTTTGCGTCCCGGTGCGATGGTGTGTGTTTACGTCATCTATACCGGTTTTGGCCCCTCGTTATGCTATCCCAGTTCGTTTTTTGCCCATAGCCTACCTTGTGCTGCCTTTGGGGTCGCAGGTTATCCGAGAAGAAAATCTCAGGAACATTTTTTATCGTAGACTGTGCTTTTGATGAAATAATTTCCTCAGTAATCATTCTGTGAAGCGTGGCAAATTATCCGCTCTCAGCATGAGAAACCAATGGAATCACACGTATTATGCTGGCCCCTTCCTTCTGTCATCAAGTTACAACGAACGGTCGCCCTCAGTACTATTTCCGGGACAGTAATTCAGGTCCAACCATTAAATTTCTGAAGGGGAATTCCGATAAACACGCGAAATCCTGAAGTCTCGCACGCCTAGACCCTGTTTATGTCGATATTTAATTTTGGCTTCCGGGCTTAGGTGGAAGATTTATTCAGAAAGCCCACTTCAAATTGGTTTCCACTCTACCGTTTGTTGATTCATTCCCCTCTTTCGCATTTTCCAGGTATTTGGGCTTTTCCGAAACCATAAGGAACCCACCAGCGGTGCCGGTTCCTGCACTTGTTCTTACGCTCGTGAACCTTGGGATTGGTTTAGTTACGTAAAACGAGTTGGGGTAATCGATATCCTAAAACGATCTTGCTGTAAGCACTTCAGGGAGAAATGTCCTACCAAGCGTCTAGCAGTTATTGGAATCTTGATGAAGTCTCTGCTTGTCGGCCCTTTTGCTTTTACCTTTTCGCTTCCTTTCGGATGATGCTTGGAAGGCATTCAACAATCATAGGCTAGCTTTTGATGAATTTCCGTGATGCCGAGTAAGAGGTGTTACTCATAGGATCTTTCGGGACGCAAAAGTATCAGTGATATGGTGTGTGGTGGCTAGGCGGAAGGTTGGCGCCTTTTATGTAGTCAGAGAGATTGTTGTCTCTCTGATAACGAACGAGCAAAATAAACACGAAGGATCAGTGGTATATATTTATTAGCGACCGATCAAACACCCTAGTTGCGGGTGGTGAGCAAGAGAAGTGCGCTGCTTAAGCCCTGCCCCTAAGGAGCGGGGGTGACCGCGGGTTCTGGCCTATGCCAGAACATGGTGGCAGTCAGAGGATGCTAGGTGCGAACACTGCTTGTACTCTAAAATAGGCTCTCTAGGGATTGATATGTCCGATCGGCGTATGATGCAGACTGAGACGTACGCCGCAAAAATGTTAACTTGCATTTTGCGCAAACTTTGTGTCCTTCCTTTGCGAAAAACTCGTCTGAATTGCGTGCTCTAATCCCATTTCAAGGGAAAATTTGTTGTGAAACACACTAGAAGTGCGCTGTTAAAGCAAACCCTGGTCTAAAGAAGGATTTGTCTATGTTATATAATTCTTATGATTCACAGTAAACCTTAGAAATAAAACGTTTCGATTCCTTGGTCATGTGAGCCTGGTACTGAACAACCGTTCATTCAGAAAAAAAGGCCTGCCTTGTTCAGTCAGAGTCTGAGCTACGATCCATGCGAAGTTGTGAACGGTGTCACCCCTAAAACAACTTTACTTTGTCAGTGTATGCTACATCCGACAACACTCTTGATAGCGACTGATAGAAGCTACAAGATACGACTATACTACACAGCCCCCAAAGAACAGCTTGAAACACTAGTTTTTGCAACAAGCTGTCTACGGCTTTGTTCCTTGTGTGTTGTAAAAACTAAGGCGTTTGCAGGAAATGTTATATAAGAATGCAAATTTCTTCCATGATTTTTCAGTGTAGTGTGATGTTAGGGTGTTCGAATAGACAACGACGCTGATTATCCGCTTTCTAGCCAAGCAGGTTCTAGGATACACAGTAAGAGCTTTTTTTATGTGAGACCACCATTTTAGGTATGATTGTCTTCTCATAATCCAACAATGGATCGTGTGATCGGACTAATTGATATGGACTGTTTCTATGCACAGGTTGAACAAAGAGAGCAACCTGAGCTGTGGGATTCGCCGGTGGTGGTAGTTCAACATGCTAGAGAAGGAGCTCCAGGAGGGTGAGACATGTTTTTCTTCGGTTGGGAAGGAAATGTTTTTATTCGGTTGAGAAGGAACAGCATCAACACACACTCGTGTTGGTATTGCTATGGTCCGTCGTAAAAGAACAATATGGAACAGGGCCTAATCAACCATCCAAATCTAACGCTTGTTCCGTTTAGGGTCATTGCTGTAAGTTATGAAGCTCGAAAATTTGGCGTAAAACGAGGAATGATGATTCCTGAAGCGAAAACCAAGTGCCCCGACTTGAATGTCTGTTTCGTTCCTCAAGGGGAACATATCGATAAGGCTGACATTCAAAAATATCGGTATGTTACTCAGTTTTCTCGATAAATACAGTATTTTTAGTTTCTGTTGTTGTAATTAGCTAAATTGTTACTGGCGCTTTGTATGCCGATAAGATCATCCAAATCGTCTGAGTGACCTGCGCACAGGATAACGCCGTTTTAGCAGTACCATTCGTTACAAGTGCTGGGAATGAAAGCGAGATGGGTTGGTGTTATTAGTGTACGGTAGGCAGTAGAATCATATCAATACTGCTCTCTTCCTTTTAGCTTCTTATTCTTACCTGTGCACAGCACGGTTGTCTACATCGTTCATTTCGTAATGTATGGTCCTACTTCAGTTCCTAAGGTTTCCAACGGATTTCCCACCATATCTCAGCCATGACTCCATCACTATTGTCGGGCTATGACTTTGAAATAATGCTTGATGTAGGCTGAGCCAATGCTCCACCAGGCATTTTCTCATATAGGGCTACTTTTATCGTATATCCTTTTATGACAGGAGAGCCATTATCCACTATTCTAGATTACCTCGTGTTTCATGCTTACTGTTTTTAATCTCGGAAAAGGATATACGCATCGTATGTATAAGAAGTAAAGTCGCTATGGGTGGCATTGAATACAGGGCCACACCAATGACTTTTCCTTACCTTGCTCAAGAAAAGTTTTACCCCGTGGGTCATGTGATTGTGTGCCGGAAAAGATGAGCTGAAACGACGGAACGGGTGATGTGGATGTAGCATTCTGAGTCGTCTTCTCCGGGATTGGTTGGATTGGAAATGCTTAAAGAGAGGTGAAGTAGGCACTTTAATGCCTCTCAGTAGCTGTCGAGGTGTTCTGTTTTTCACTCAACACCCATGGTTGATAACACCGAAAATCGCTCTGGTCTTGGAATCTAAGGGGTCATTTGCAATAAAATTTATACTGCTAGACGTTTTCGGGATGCGTATCTCAGAGTGACTTTACTAGTTTGCCAAGCGTTTCTTTAAACGGAGCGATGGTTTGGTATCGCACCCTTTGATGTTTGTGCTGATTTTTTTAATTCTTAAACCCTTCTACAGCACTTGGATTTATTTGCTTGTCCATACGCTCTACATTCACAATAGGATAACTTTTATTAATTCGTGAGCATTTGTATCAATATTTGGATGAATACTTTGGCCTGGGAAATGGAAGTTGGATCGGGCGCATACCTCAAACGGGATTGCCTAACGCTCCAGACTTCATCCGTTATCCTTCATACTGTGGCCTTGCCATAGCTAGCAAACTCGCACCTTTTTTCTGACCTCTTCATATTTCGTTTGCCTTCGGGATCACGCCGAGAGGGGGCATATCATCTGAAGCCAATCCCAAGTCCTTGTAAGGCGGTTTGCGTTGGTCGACAACAAGACCAGCGGTATGTCAAGGTCGCCTTACTAAACTGACTCACAAAGACTCATGAGTGGCTTTAGATGACATGCCGTATCCGTCGCAGCGTGATACGGAAGCAAACGAAGCTCGCAACTTTCTCATTAATTTCCACGGCCTGCGGCAGTGGTTCTGCGGCGACTCTCCGTTTCCTTCCATTGAGAAATCAAATTGTCCTCTTCATAGCGCGCACGGCGAGCGCGACACGCCGTTCGGGGAGAAGACGCCAGAACCAACTCGCAGAGACCAGGAAAAGGTACGAGTTTCTTAGCTGTGGCTAGGCCACTGTATAAAAATGCACAGTTTACAATAATTTTGGGTAATCCCGATTCTGACGAAAAATGGAAGATAAGATGGAAATGGTGCGTTGAAGGCGAAGGAACCGCGTGAATCGGTGTTTCCAGAGGGAAAATGCTTCGAAAAATCGTAAAAAAAGGGGGCTGGACGAGAATGAGACCAGAAGAATGAAGAAGAGTGAGGCATTTGGACGAGCTATACAATGGGGTCATTGCGTACATATGGGTCCTGGTGCAAATGACTGAACGGCAGCAAGCAAAAATTCATTCTTTTATATGCATAAGCAAACAAAAAAAAANAAAAAAAAACCGTAGTCACAGCAAAAATAGTTCACCTTTTTCAGCTTCTTGGGTTTGGAAATTCAAAATGGGATCGCGGCAGCAAAACGAATAACGGAGAGAAAAAGAACGGGTGGAAAAAATCGAATCATCACTCGGCGATCTGCTGATTGTGTGTGGGTCCTAGAACGAATAATTGCAATCTGTATCGCCTCGACACTCGTCTGACGTGACATCTATCGAGGAGCGGGAAGGCCGCGCGAGCCGGGAACAGGGCTTCCACTGTACCATATCCGTCGAGTTTTTGGGCGCGAGAGGATCCTTTCTATTACCCTTGGGAGCCACTCAGTATTTCCAGGAGAAGAACTCAGTAATCATTTTTATTGTGAACCGAACCTTTAAAGGATGAAGGTGTGTTAAGAGTGTTCTGTGTTTATCATGCCTATTTAGGACCATTGGGTCTAGGGAACTGTTCATCGAAGTTTTAGTCGTTGTATGAGGATGGAACGGATCTCCTTCACTGAGGGTTCTCTCTCACTGAAGGATTCTAGCCGGTTAGCGACGAGGCTATGTAAGGCGTCTTCACGTGGCGGATAAGGGAGTAAGTCGTCGACCGGAAATCGCCGGTACTTGCCCAGAGACGCAGGTGGATTCAAGGCTGGTCTCCCTGTTTCTGCTGTGCTGGTCGACACACCTTCTGTTTCTCGTAGGCTATCCACGGGTACGTGTGTAGAGAATCTGTGGGGCAGTTGGTATCCTGCCCATCGACGCCAAAAGCTTGCTTTCGAGTGACTGGGAAGTATCTGGGAGGCGATTCGGGGCCGCCTCCAGAAACAGGAGCACTAATGGGCCTCACTCTCCTGTTTGTCATAAGGAGGTTCCATCATAAAACTCACGAAACTCTTTTTTATTCCGTTTGAAAGGCAACTTTTCCATTTTTTTCCTGAGGAGGACAAGATTACAGGACAAGATCAACACTACAAAAAATCACTTGATTTGAACGCCATTATCACGAGATTAAAATTTAATTAACCACTAGTCTAACACTTTGGAGCGAAGCCGTTGGCATCGATGACGGCTTGAGATTGGCGGGGCATTAATTCGACCAACTCGTCTACCAGGCACTTATCAATTTTCCATTCTTCTCAAACTGGCCAAACCCTGTGAGCTCGCACTAGATCCGCTTTCGCAAAGAATTTTTTTTTGAAACAAAAGTTCACTCACTCGGCCTTACAGAAAGCTACCGCGATTCTGATTCGCAGGAAAGTCGGTAATGTTTGAGAAGAGAGCTGTCAAAAAAAATCAGTCAGAAACATTGAGTTCGAGATGAGGTATGGCAAAAATGGTTCAAGATGATCGAGGTGTTATTGTTCGCGCAAGTTAAGAAACACATTGCTGCAACGTCACGTCATAAATGTCACTATTAATTGTTAACCGGGTGTGACGGCTTCATGCTTAGTAAACTAGTTAAAGTTATAACAACTGCTAGGAGCTGATAGTTAGAAAACAAGTGTAACATCCGCTACAACGTTTTTCTAAAATGGTGGTGGAACTCACGTTCTAATAGGCAATCTGAAAAGATCATGTTATGAAAACTAATGTATGAGTTGATCAGAGAGCATAATGACTGGAAAGAGCTGATTGTGGTCTTATGAAGAAAGTATTAAAAAGTAATTCAAGTTATCATTTCAAAGCCTATGATACAAGCTGCTGGGAGTAGGTCAGTGCTATGATCTGGATCAACAATGTATCGTTTCTTAGGGTTTGAAAGCGCATGCATACATTGGTCCCTATTCAGTGATGCCAGCGTTGAGGTGTTCGACGTTCTGAATGCTTTTGACGAGCGAATTGTGGTGGAACGCGCTTCAGTTGACGAAGCATTCTTGGACCTTACCGAATTTGTTGATCAAAGACTAATTGAGTCTGGAGCCGCAGAGATGCTGCAGGAGGTAAGCCGTTTCTCTTCACAGTAGATCCAAGCAAGCTAATTCCGCTTTGGGTTTCGGTCACTGTTTGCAAAGTTTTGCTGATCATGTGACGGAAGACCTCTTACTTGGGAACGGTCTCAGGCTCCTCCGATAAATACGGATGCCCGAAATTAAGGGCAACAAATTTCGAGTTTATCTTTAAGGTAGAAATAATTTATAAATTTCACCTCATTCGCTACTTATTGGTTGGACGAGCAGGTTTTCTCGCAATATGCATAGTTACTGAAGTGAGATTCGTATATGTAGTCTGGCAGATAGTGAAGACTCATCCAAAGCCACTTGCAATTATTTGAATGCAAGAGAAAGAAGGGCATAGTGAAACTTGTGGTTACATTGATGACCGTATCGAAGCGCTGTTAAACGATATAAAGAAGCAGTATCAATCGTAGACAAAGTCGGAAGGGGTAGAAAGGCCAGTGTTTCTTAAGGCAAGACTACTACAATAGTCCGTTCATGGGTCAATCGTGATACTTTGTGACCGATCCAAAGAGCCGGGCTTTCCTCCTTCTCATGATTGAGCTGCAATAATCGACAAATCGCTCGTTCTTTTTCTAGAACAAATGGCACTTTGGAACACAAAACTTGGAAGAGGATTGACAAGACATCCAAGTGGTATTTAATATGTGTCGGTGCATATGCCTATAGTTATTTAGAAGTCTCGATCTGTTGCTGTTCATCTTGAAAGTAACAACCCATTGAAGGGTCAACTGGTGCAAATCAACGTATTGACGACAATCACGTTCCGGGGAAAAAGGGTCGCGAGGGACCGACTCACGCTTTCAGCGATAGCAGCTTTTATGTGGACTTCATGGTCCATAGCAGTCATTTTTTTTGAATTCTTCTCCGTAGTTTTGTTTTCTGACTTTTACTGTAGCAGTTGGTGTTCATTTAATCTTGAGCTCAATTATGCACAGAAATCATTTCGAGGGGCTTTTGCGAGATTTGCATCTTGTTGTTAACAGTGAAGATGTTAATGGCGACCCTCTTTTCGAAATATCTCATTTTTGAAGTTTTCCAATGGGCATTGTATGGAGTACTAGAAGCACGAAAAAAGGTCTGCATCAGTGAGTGTGGCATTGAATGAGCCTTCACCTTCCAAAAGATATAACGGTCTCACTTTAGTAAATGCGCATATCGCAAGAAGACCTACGTGTTTGTGCAACTATTATAACTAATAGCGAGCGAAATGCAACTAATAAACTATTTCCGTCATAGAGATTATTGAACTTTGGCGCCCATAATTTAGGGACAGCCCGCATATTAGTGAGACGAGAACGATGGTAAGCAAACGTGACAAGCAACGTCCAGTAGGTGAAGGTGTGGAAGCCTACTTACGTCACTTAAGAGGCTAGAACATCAAGGTACTGATATGTGTTGATATCCAATGTGAAAGCCTAGCTGAGTCGGTGCAAGAAAGACGTTGGAAGAGAGGTAATCCTAAACTGAACAACCGAAATGAATGCATTGCCGTGGTGTGGTGCGATTCACGCGTCAATATGATGAGGTCATCGGACAAAACGCGCTAAAACATCATGCCTACCATCATAACGGAAGAAATAAGAACTTATAAGTAGAGTAAGTAACGAAATGACCAACTATGCACGTTTACAGAAGGATTGCATTTTCTAGGGTCAAAAAATTTGAAGTTATTCTTGCTTTGAACGTTTGGCAAGTAAATTGTGGGCCTATGTAGTGAATTTTCAATCTCGAAGGGGCTTCATTGCCATAGTAAAGAGATTTGCTCTAATTCATGGTAAAGCCGTGGACTGCTACAAATTTATTTGGTCCATTACAACAGAAACGTACAGAAACAATGCTGCGTGCGCGAAGAGCTCTAATGGGGTCACGCGTGAATCGCGCGCCCCCCATATGGGTACATATGTGCGTCCCAGGATGCGCACGGCAAACTGGCGGCGAAATTTGTAGCGGTTCGAACGACTCTGGCGCCTATTGTTGGGGTATAAACTAGAGTAGTTTAGTAGGGTCAACCGACCCTACTATTCTACTTTACTTCAAACTTGGGCCCCCATGTTAGGCGCTAAAGACGTTTCGTTACTAAAGAAGAAGTCGTGCGTGAATCGCCCCCCCCCCATTGCCGTAGCTAGTGAACTACTGCCATTCGATCCTTTTTGTGGGCTTCGAAATCACCGCGTAATTTCTATCGGACGACCATCAAGGGTATGCCATTAGTCCCCTCTTATTTACGAAATCGAGTGGACGGTAAGTGGGCAGGTTTCTTGGCTAGGGTGTTTAATGTCCGAATTTCAGGAAGTTGTTGCAACTGGCCTAAGTAGCGCGTTTGGGAGCTTTGTCGAACAAGTCACAGGTTAGGAGCTCCACTTTCAGGTCCTTCGACGACGTGTTGTCGGAACGTTGACTTAATGAAGCTACTCTATCATAACAAACTTATACCACAAAGCAGTGTGATACTGGGTGTCCCAGAATTATTGGCGCCAAAACTTAGAAATTTCTAAGCTAGAAATAATTCATCAAATTCACATTATCTGTTATTAATAGTTTGCATAAGAAGGTTCCCTTGCAATATGCATGATTATTGATGTGGAACTCCCAATATCTCTCAGATGGAGAGGGCTCATTGAATGCCATTTGCAATCATTGGCACGCGGGAGGTGGAAGGGCATTATGAAGTTCCTTGATATTTATATAATAACTGTATAGGAGGCTATTAAAAGATATAGAAGAGATAATTAAATCAGAGGCAAGCCAGGAAAGGTAGAAAGGTAGAATGTTTGTGAAGTGAGGACTATTAAAATTGTCCGTTTGCTAATCGGTCGTGGTTCTGGGTGACCCATCAAAAGGAAATCAATGAGCATGGCTTACAGGAATTAGAGCATGGCTTACAGGAATTATCGCGATAGAAGAATGTCATGGAAAAGCTTCACTGCCATTCCTATCGTATGTAGAAATTTCGCTTCAATTACGACCTCAACAAACACTGCAGGGCCAAAAAATGCAGAAAGTCGCAGACCCACTTGAGTGATGACACGCAACCCTTCGTCGTTTTCTTTGGTCAGATAATTTTTACGATAAAATCATCCCTCAACAACTAAAACGTTCGCGTTCCGGAAAGAAACAGCGTGGAAGAACTCACGAAAAGGTTGCTATAAGAACAGTGAAACTTTGTTTTCGAGGAATTAATTGTCAAGGGTAAGCCGCTGGTGGTTTCTCCGGTGAAGGCGTGAATATTGACCAAGACCAGTACTCAAACAGCGTAGTATTGGAAGTGATGAAGCACTGATCCGACTACGTTTCCTGAAATATCTCGTATTCCTTCCAGCAGGACGTTACTCCAGCCCACAGAGCCAAGCTTGCCCGCGAGTGGTGCCGACGGCAGCTGCTCAACATCATTGGTGAAGAGAAATGGTCATCCTATTTTCCAGATCTTGACTCTCACGAATGGTTCCTGATTAGAAGAGGACCTGTCGAATTTGCAGTACCCAGTTTGGAGTCCTAGGATGTAAAGGCTGAAGACCGGCTGGGAAGAATTGGAGAAGGATACCTGCGTGCCACAGGCGATCGAGTCGAAAGCAAACTTTGACTTCTATCCGCGCTCATAGGGGATAATTTGAAATGCGACTGTAGTATGTTGTAGCACATAGTATTAGCTAGCGTGCGTAGAAATTCCATCGTCTTTCGCGGCTAAGAAGTTCAAATGTATTGCTATAAATCGGCGCCAATAATTTTGGGACATCCTGTACATTCTGAACTCAAGTTTTAATGTAGGGCCTAGTCGAGTAAATGGGGTTAGGGTGAGAACGACGACGCCTGTGACTGCGTTCGTACACCGACTCCTGATACTAGAAATCGGGAAGTTTTTTGATGACGGCACTTACTTTGATGGTCCATCGGCAAGAGGTTTTCCCAGCGAGGACTACATCTCTTCCATACTGCGCGATCTTTCTCGACTTGCATCCAATGCTGGCCTTTTTCTCTGGAATATTTGGAAAATAAATCGACCCGTCGAGTCAGTTGGCTTCCTAACGGTCTTGCTTACATCTCGGAAGCCACTCTGTGACTGGAAGACACCATCCGTTATCTGTTCGACGAAGTAGACGACCGGCCCAGAGGTGTATCCAATAAGCCATGAATTGTAGAGGGTCTCTCCTTCAGATCTGAACTTCGCAATCCTTTCTGCCACTGTTGACGTCGACTGATCTCTAGAAAACTCCCTCTTAATGCGTGAGGTTCTTATGGCTTCGTCGATTTCGTTGTCAGGGTACGTTTGAGTCGCATAACCCATCGCTGGCAATGCTGAGGCGTTGAATGTCGATGCTTTTAGGGTGGGATCGCTGACCTAGTCTGCCACTTTACGAATTGATTTCAAAAGAAAGAAAGAAGAAAGCTACCTATTAAGCACGTCTACTCCTATTTACTTCCGGAGCAGCTCTCTTCTCAGGTACATGTGGGATTCAACTCTTTGTAGAGCTTTTAGTTCTAATTTTACTGTTTTCGTATCGCTACACCTGTTCACCATTAGCTGCGCTTTGCACGAATCTTCAAGACCACCCACAGCCTACCGCATATAGCTCGTTGAGCATCTTTTCCATTTCGACAGTGTTGCTAGATATCAAGGCGATATTGTCGCGGTCACTCATATAGAAGGTTACTGACATATTTGTCATTGGTGGGGGTATCCCTTTCTTCCCAGTCGCGGTTCAACATCGTAATTCAGTGCAGCCGTGAAAAGCATTGGGAATATTGCACCTCCTCGCTGAACCTCTTTTTCAACTGGAATCTTCAGTTTTCGCTCGATTGAATTGAACAATTGAATGAATGTTGATGTGTTTGAAAGGCACTATTCGAGCATTTGAACGTAGGTAGAATCAATTCCGGCTTGTACAGGAGCATTCAGAACAGACTTGACCATCATAGGGTGGAATGCCTACTTGTGATCCAGGAAAAGGAGGACAAAAGGAGGCGATACTCTTGACTTCTATCAATATTTACTGCTGGATGTTGTCGATGCACGAAAAGTTTTTTCCTGAATTCGGTGCACTCTCTCCCGCTGGTAATCGGAGGGTAGTAGCAGATGTCTTTCCGCTGAGCTCTCTTGAGGAATCCTTAATTTGAGGAAGTGATTAAAGTAATCTGCAAGAAGGGTATAAGGAGCGGTGCTCACAGATCGTAGAGAATCCGCAGGGATATTTTCCAAGCATAGAGCTAGTCCTTTCTTCATGCTTCTTTTCGCGTTTGCCACTTCCGATTCTAGGCAAACGGAAAGTTCTTCATCAGGCGGCATCGGGCATTTAGGCACAAAAGTAATTAGAAGAAACTGGACATTCAAATTTTGAGATCGTCAAGGTTATTGAATTTTCACCTTGCTGCACTGATTTTAGTAAGTAGTGGCTTAAGTTCACTCGGGCTGGTTCTGTGCTATACGGCGCATGAGACATAGCTTACTAGCGCAGTTCCTCTATTAGTTGGTAAGAAGTTTTCGTTCTCGGGACAAGAGGTCTTGCGTTGTTGTGCAAGAATTTCATATTGGCTGAATTGATCCCTTGACAGTGCAGTGCTTAACCTACGCGACGAGCTGCTGTACGTATCTTTTCGAGGTAATCGTCCGACCCACATCCAGCCCTTCAAAGTACAGTATGGGCCCAAACGTATGGTGACACAGGTATCACATCCCCGAAAACGAATAAAACCCTAATAGAACAACCCATTTTCAAGAAAAAATTTATCGATAATCGTTTAACAAAATAATACTTGAAACTAGGATCTGTTGATTCCCATTCTCACGCAAGTCTCGAGACTACGATAGGATACATCGAGGGTGGCACGCTATTAGGATAAGCGGGTCTCGGCCTTTTGCGAGGCATACTCGAGATTATTTCAATTCTAGTTTGGGGTGACGCATGTTTTTACTACCAAGTTTTACCACACTAACAATAAGACATCATGAAATTAAGGTCAGGGCTCCTGAGTGGCCACAGATCAAAGGTTATGGAGTCGGGGGACTACTGCAGGATTCCTGGACAATTTTTGCTCTGCAGTCAGGAGCTCCATCTTTACAATATATCCGCAGGAATCGCCAAAGTGTCTGATTGCACACGACAAAATCGAACAGGTCTCCCACATAACTGTGACTTCTTAGTTCCAAGTTCACCTTAGTTTCAGTAGCTTTCTATCATTTCCATTTCATTCAACTTCACGTAAAACCTGTCGCAATGCTTACTGAGCACCTTTTTTGCCGTGAATATCTTCTCGTCAATGAAGAGGAATCCAGCATGGCGATTTATTCGGAAACGTAGTGACTGCTGTTGTGAGCCAACCTTTCCCTTCTCTTCAGCCTGCTCGCTCGGGAAATCACTTTCTGATCGTATAAGGACCTTGTTATGCAAATTATGTTTCCCGATTTTGCGCAGAAACTTCGTAGAATATTCATACCTTTAGCCATTTTAAGGCAGAGTGAATTACACTGCAACGCAGGCCTTTGCCTTTTTACTTAACACTCGTAAATGTAACTGTAGGCCTCTCATATCCACTCCTCCGATCTACAGTTGTCCCAACTCTCGAATGCGTCTTATTGTTCAGTATACTTTGTTACGCTGAGTCGTCTGGACATGTGCCAAAAGCACTTGTAAATAAAAGTGGTGATTGATTCACGGGGTAGTGACGTGTCCACTATTTTAAAAATCTGCCAAAAGTTCAGTATAATTAGGAACAAATAATGTAATCTACCTTATGAACTAAAAGAAACCGAATAATATCTTCTGAACTAAGAAGAAATATGGTACGACCGTCAGCGCGCGGTGTCATCATAATTTTGGCCCACCCTATACGCCAATCTTACACTGTTGCATCACACGAACAGCATAGCTTTCTTCTCATGAATGCCTGCTATCGGAGTCGGCCTCCATTGTACACCGAGTTAGGGATACTGCCGTTTTCTTAGTGCGTATTGGGGGAATATCCACTTTCCAACCGTCGTTGCAATGGAATCAAAGGCCCTCTGTTCTGATTCTGTGAAGTATGATTCTCGCAATGGCAGCTGCTTCGTTCGCATCTCTCATTTGATGCGCGACCCGTTTTTAGCCTTCCGATTGGGTGCATGGTGCTTTGAGAGCACTCAAACCTCTCTGTACGACCTCTGGTACTTTGGCGTAGATCAACTGAAGAACTGCCATACTTCTTCGGTATCCCTGACTTCAGTCGGATGTCCAAGTTCTTCGTTCCCGAGATTTTCATCTCCTCGAAAGCGATGCCTCAGGGATGGCATATTCTTTCTGGGTATTTCGCAACGGGTTCGATAAGATTCAGCTGCCGCTTTCCCTTGTTTGAAATGGTCACACATACATATGCGCAGAAGATGCTTCTTATCAAGCATTTTCGAATGGGAATTTTGGCTTCAGGTGCGATCACTCACTGAGAGCTGTACTGTGATATCCGCAAGGATACGCTCTCTCAAGTGAGCTCCACACACTTCAAGAAATTGTATAAAAACATTAAAATGAAATACATGAAAAGGAATGAGAGACATTTCATATTCGTCAAATTAATAAGTTCATTTGTAAATGTTGAGTTTCGCATTCTACTTAAGCTTTCAGCTTACTGGTAATATCTCTACTCTGCTTCCTACGACACATCTTGCAGACGGTTGCGACAAAGAAGGCGAAGAAGCGTACAATCGTGAGGAGAACCTTCGAAATTGGCTCGAAATTAAGTGTGCCAAGGAACTAAGTCATGTTTGTGTTACCTTTTCTCTTGTTTTTGTTTCAGTTGCCTCAAGTGCATTGTACCACTGGTCGCCCAAAGTCCTTTGTATGTTGCGCTAGCGCTTCTACGGCAGAACATTTGTTTCGTTGTTGTAACATTTGTAACCAACGTCATTTAGGCATAGTTAGGATACCAGCAACTGTACTCATGTCAATTTCATCAACACTGAGCCATCGCTCACCCATGAACACAATCGAGTAGTTTCGGTCGGACGCACATCGTTAATGAAAGTCTAAGGATAAAGTCCTGGTGCGTTAATCGATCCCGCCTGGGGGTAACGCCCACGCATTCGATTTCCATTTAGAATCGTAGTGGTGTATTAAATGCGTATGTAGCCTATGCAATGGCTTGCATAGGCTACATACGCATTTAATACGCCACTACGATTCTAAATGGAAGTCGAATGCGGCATGTACAAATCAGTGTTTCGATATTCCCAGACGAGTCTGGTATCAATTAGCCGACCCCGGAGGGATGGAAAGCTTGGTTGGCATAGGGAAATGACGATTCGGTATATGAATCCGCGACCATACGTGTTTGAAGTGCGTGTACCGAATTCAGCTCGTTTATACAGTGCTCCTGCTCTGACTGTTCTGCAGTTTTTTCCAAGCCGCATACAATCTCACGCAAGATGAGCGCATTGATGAAATGCGTCGATGATAACGATAGCCCAAAATCTGAAGAATCCATGTGCATCGTCAATGGCGATTACTTTTGCCAACACAGAGTAAGGCTTTAGCGTTGAAGCGGATACGATCACACAGGCATTTCGATTCTTCTTCTACCTTCTCTATGTTTCTAGCTGCAGAACTCGGCAACAAGATTCCCCTACAGCAGCGCACTTCAATAGCGTTGTACCAGTAGGTGTCGTTTCACCTGTCAGCCTCACAAGGTGCTGAAATTGGTCGAGAATTAAGAGTTCGTTTGCACCGCTGGGCAAGCTCAGGAGACATGAGACGCCGGCTTTGATATTGAATGCATAATTCTGGCCTACGATAACAGTATCGGTGCTAAGGAAACCAGTGAGGTTTTCTAGATCATTCACTGAAATTCATGGATTAATGGCAAGAATAAGTGCCCCAACTAGCACACTATGTACCTTTGTAGTGATAAACGATGCACGTAATATGAAGATCTCTTTAAAGCACGAGTGCGGCCGGACATTCTCACTTGATCCATTGTCTTTCAAATTGAGCAGTAGAATCAAGTGGAGTCGATGTTGGCGTAATCGACGTGTGTTGCCCTTTGTACATTTTCAACTTTCGAAGCCGACCGGAATGAAGTGCAACTAGTCAATGTCTGCGCATAAGTGATCATAACATCGCCTTTGAGTACAACGAACGTTTCGAAACGTCGGGCAAAATAAATAACCACAATTCAAAAATGCTCTTTACAAAGCATTGAATACTCCAAGACAACAAATGACCAGGTTTGAAGGAATGTTTTGATGGAGATTTGTTGTAAATTTAGCTCCGCCTGGCAATAGCTGCGCAGACCATCGAACGAATGCGTGCGAATATTCGTGAGCACACCCAATTCTTTTGCTCAGGAGGCATAGCCAACAATAAGGTTCGTCAGATTTTCATGGATTTTCGTAAGCAATGAATGGACTGCTCCTAAAATATTCTTACTTACTGGG